CCTTTAAATGGTAGATTTAAAAAAAATGTGTAGGACATTGATAGATACTAATATAGTGCATTATCAAAAAAAAAGTTTCCTTCTGTATATTTTTCCATTTGTGATAATCAGGAAAAAAATTTAACAGTGAACATTTAGATTTTTTAATTTTGTATTTTTTTTATTTTAAAGAGTAACAATTTTCAATGGCTGATGATGGCGCAAGGGTCCCAACTTGACTAAATAAAATTTATCGATTTGTGGAGTTGACTTTAATATTACTTACTGTTTAAAACTATAAAACATCCACTTTGGGAAGAAAATGGATCGAGTTCTACAGTAAAAAATTATTTGTGTAAGACTTGGACAAGTAATTTTTTATAAAAAAAGTTCGGTGTAATTTACCTAAAATTATATCTGACAACATTGGATAAGAATTATTTTAATACCAATTATTTTTCTTTTGTTTCTTGGGAAACAGAAATAACCTTAATTGTTTGCTACTTTCATTATTTTTGCTGCTATATTAGAAATAAAAGTAAAATTCATAATTCATCATTGCTCAAAAAAATTAATCAGGAGATTTTTGTAACATATTTTACGGACTCCCCAAAGCTTTTCCAAGAATGCATCATCAAGGTTTTCCGTTATCTTTTGATCACCGTGTATACAAGGTGTCCCAGCAAATTGAAAAAGTCCATTAGTGACCTTCAAATGGTACAATTAAAAAAAAATTGATAGTTACTAATCTAGTGCAATAAATACTGAAATTCGAATTATTTTATTGTAAAAATAAAGAATAATGGATTCAGTTTAACACAAATGTGATTATGAAATGATATTTCTTCCATCTCTTGTGTAACTGTGCACTTTTTGGCTACTGAAACAATAGTAATTATTTTTTTTTAATGTTTAACATTAAATATCTTTTAGTTATTGATTATAAACACCTAAAAGTAAATAATTTTAAAAAGACAATTTAATAATCTTTTAAAAGCAAAAACAATAAATAGGGTGTTCCATTTAATTTTCTTAAGTTATTGAACTTTTAACAAACGCCTTCATTTTTTTATTTTTGCAAATGCAACACATTAAAAAAATGTTACAACCTTTTAGCATGTACCTTCTTCTTTGCAGTAGTAAAAAAAATATTTCTAGATGTCTTAGTTTTTGTGTAATAAATTTTTAAAAAGTGCATGTTTTCGTCAAAAAACCGTCTTATTTTTAAAACTAAGCAAAATCGACCAATAAAACCATTGTCATAAAAATCTACATCTAAAAACGCTAAGAGACATATGGTTTTCATTTAAAAAAACACAAGTTTGTATTGTAACTTATTTTTGAGACACGCTGTATAGTTGAAAATAATTTTAGGCGATGGACTAGATTAGTATCTATCAATGTCCTATGCATTTTTAAAAATTTTCCCATTTAATATAGTCACTTATGGACTTTTTCAACTCTCTGGGACATTCTGTATATTAATAATTAAAATAAATTTAAAAAAGCAAATAGAAATAAACCACTGAAACGTCATATTTTAGACAAAATTTGAAGTTTTGTTGTAATAACCTTCACATTTCTAAATTAAATTTATAAAAAATATGTTGCAACACTTCCGGTAATGTGTTTTTGGGACGTTTTTTATCCAAAAAAATATATCTGTTTTTCTTCTTTTCTTTTTTAACCGCAGTTATGGTTTCATTAATACAATTTATTTGTTTAACAGTAATGTTTTAGTGTTCATTGTAAATAAAATGTGACCAACTTTACGGGAAAATTATGTTAATTTGGTAAAACAATCTAATAAGATGCACTGATAACTTGCAACTAAGTCCACACTTCCTCATCACAAAGCAGATTTAGTTTAATTAAAATTTTTACATGCAAATATGTGTAAAGCACACATACTACAATGTTTGCACTAAAAAGGATTAGATTTTGGAGATAAAACTGCACTCTAAAACATATTTCGTATTTATGGATTTTGAAAATATGAAACAATAATTAATGCTTTATATTTACCTATTCTCTCTTGTTTTTTTTTAATGTATTAATAAAAAGTTTGTTATTAACATTTTCAGAAACAATATGCAAAATACGGCAATTAAGCTTAGTAAGTAATTACAACAGAATATTCAAACATGTCAATTAGCTCGAATTTATTGTAGGTTTTTATCAAAATGTTGATTTATTGTTTCATGACGTTGCAAATTCGTTTTTAATGTATGCTATTTTGGTGGTTGCTGTGTAAAAGATAAAATAATGCAAAGTTAAGTGGAAAAACAAGTTAAAGCTGTTTTAAGCCAAACACTCAAAATAAATAAGTTTTCGTTCGCCATTAATTAGCACAAAAARATTTTTCACTGAAYCTTTCTTTGAATTTTTCATKAGCTTYTTAGAAGTCACTAAAAATAAAAGAACTTWATTGACCATTAACTTCACACAAGTTGACGCATTTTAAGCGAGTGAAATAAGACAAGAATTATTTTTTAATTCAAAATTGAACTAAAATCAGCGCTTGAAATTACTTTGGTTGGCTACATGTAATAGGCGGCGAGGTAACTAATATATCAACTTGAATTCTACTATTTGTTCCCCATTATAATGAATGTCATTTTGAATGAATCGAGCATTTAAAACATTTTAAATACGAAACTGATCAAAATTAATAAAGATTTCGACAACTTTTTTAATTAATGAGAGCACACACGTTTCAAATAGCTCATTATTTTTTTAATTAAATCTCTTTCACTTCAAAATCACTTGTCAGTCGGTCTTTTGATTTATCATTGCCTCAATTAGAATTACAAAATTCAGGATAAAATTTCGATTTATTACGAAATTAGTGGCGGTTCTCGGGGTTCTAGCAACAATAACAACAGCTTTTGTGATTACAAAACTTTAGAAGTTTGATGTAGAGTCTAGTATTCTGTTTTATTACACGGTTCGTTTCAATGCAAAATTAATGGAATTATAGGAAACTCAATATCTGTCGTCAACAAGAATTAATAGCCCCGTTGAAAACATTTCGTAAATTAATATTCTGAAAYSATGAAGATAAAAAAGCTAGTATTTCGTACTAGAATCCTCAATGTTTAAACCTTATTAATTTGTCTCGTAACTAAGTTTAAATTGCTACCAGCATTATTTCTTTTAAAACTAAGTTGATAGAATTTTGTAAATGAAAATTAGAGAAGTTTAAAAAGTTTAGAACGAAATTATAATACATGGAAATTAATTTTCCTCTTCGTGTTGAGACTGCAAGCGGATGATAGCATTGATTTTGGCAAAATAGCTGTCTGCGCAAATATTGACAAAGAGAGAGAACGAATAAGTATTATTAAACGTCAAGAAGATTTGACAATTATAATATTCATAATGAAGTTGCTAATTTATGTGTTTTATTTCTAGATCTGAAAAAGTCTGTTTTAAGCTTTTAAATGAAACACCATACGTATTTTAGCGTTTTTGTTTTTTTGACAAAAACATGCACTTTTTAAAAATTATTACACAAAAACTAAGATATCTAAAAATATTTTTTTTTACTACCGCAAAGAAGAAGGTGCAAGCTATAAGGTTGTAAAATTTTTAGTGTGTTGCATTTGCAAAGATAAAAAAATGAAGGCGTTTGTTAAAAGTTCAATAACTTAAAAAAATTAAATGGAACACCCTATTTATTGTTTTTGCATTTAAAAGACTATTAAATTGTCTTTCTAAAATTATTTACTTTTAGGTGTTTTTAATCAATAACTAAAAAGATATTTTACGTTAAACATTAAAAAAAAATAATTACTATTGTTTCAGTAGCCAAAAAGTGCACAGTTGCACAAGAGATGGAAGAAATATCACTTAATAATCACATTCTTGTTAAACTGAATCCATTATTCTTTATTTTTACAATAAAATAATTCGAATTTCAGTATTTATAACGACTTTTACAATCTCTGGATAAATCAAGGAATAAGTGATCCGTGGTGGAATTACTATGTTTGCCATAGTATCAACAATGCCCAGATATTGATAGGCATTGTTGCTTTTTTTTAATTTTCTTCGAAAATGAGGTAAAAAAGTGAATAAACTATCATGAAACTAAAATTATATTTGCTTTTTTGGAGAGTTTGAGATAACTATTGCTTTAAAAAAAGATTTTTTTTCTTATTTAGTGGGTGTAATTTTG